AGAGGGGGGGGGCAGGTGAGGCGAAGTCCGATGCCCAAGCAGCGGTGCGCCGTCTGCTGCTGACGAACAGACTGGCGGACTGCTGAGCTAGCACCCCGTTTGCACTCCGCAAAAAACATTCCCAGGTCATGTGCTTCACGTACTTAACAACTTTTAGCAAAAGCCCCCGCCCGCTTCCCTCGAGTTGCCCCCTTCCTCCCCCGCCCATGTGGGGCACTGACAGGACAGGAAGGAAGCGACCCGCACGTCCTGGCTCCGCAACCGTCATCCCCCCGCCCCTCCCGTGCGCCTGGGGACAAACGTCATGTCGATGGTGAGGGGGACCATGGTGCGTTTCTCCACCTACACCGTCGGCCCGCCCCTGCAGAGCCCACCCCAAGGTGCCCCCAAGGTCGGAGGGAGGCGGAGGGACCCCAAGGGGTGGCAGCACAAGTTGTCCGTTGTCCGGGCGATCCTGATCCTGTTCTGGCCGATCCATCCAGCCCGACGCGTCCTCGTCGGGATCACAAACTTTCATCAGATTGACCAGCGAGTTCCATCAGGACTTAAGTCTCTGTCCAGAGAGAGGGGCGGGAAGGGGGGAGGGGTAGATCCCACCAGCAGCCAGGTGGTGAGCTGAGTGACAGCGTAGACAGCACTTACCATGAGTTTGCTGAGGCCGGCGCGTATTTTATCCATGGCTTCAGATGATATAATCCACAGGTGATAGATGAGGGAGTAAATCCAAAGGAAAGGGTGGGAACAAGTAATCCTCAAGAGGCGTGCGTCCGTTGCATGGTCACCGAATCACACACGCATTTAAGTTACGCACTGAAAACGTTGGCAACCACCGGAGATCACTGGCACAAACTACTGTACACTGGTATCTTGATTACACTCAAACTGCACACCTGGTGAAAGTACACAATCACACACACACGCGCCCGCGCGCAACAGGGAAGGAGCTCGCTCGCGATACGCGCGCCAAGACACTCGCGACAATCCGCGGATCTAGATGGGGAGGGGGGAACGCGACGTTACGGGTATCGCTAAAATCAGCATGTTGGCTAACGACCCACCCTGCCCAGCCCAGCCCGGCCCCGCTCCGCGCAATCCCGATGGGAGCTAGGCGCTCCACGACACACCACGCGACGCACACCAGGGCGGCACCGAACCGACTAAACCTCCACTCCACCACTCCTCCTCCTCTCCTCTCCACTCACTCCACTCCGCGGCGGGAGGGGAGGGGGAGGGAGAGGGGGTCTGCCGGCCGGCTTTTGCTCCCAACCGCCACCGAGCCGGGCCCAGCCGGGCCGTTGCAACCGCCGCCGCCGTTGGCGCTGCAGCAGTTGCAGCTGGTTCCGCGGGGGTATGGCGGACGCTGCTGCTGCCGCAGCGCCGCCGGCCTTTCCCCCTCCAACCCCTCCTCCTCCCCATGTGTGAGTGTGAGAGAGTTTAGGGGCGAGCCGGCCCGCTATTTCATTCAAGCAGACTCAACAGTTGGGAAGAGAAGAGAAGATGCAACCAGTCGCTGGCTGATGACTTTCACCACCGGAGTTAAGCGAGTCTCTGATCCTAATCCTGGAGGACCCGCTTGGTCCTGGATGGCGCGGCTCTAGCGGAAACCGGCACCTTCTGGAGCCGCGAGGTCCGTTTGGCGTCGGCTGTCGCTATGATCGGGACCGTCGCCAGGGTTGAACACCCTGCGGACGACGACCTCCGCGGGTGGACCCGGGACCAGGACGAGGAGTGCGAAAAGGACGACAGGGCGGACGGGTCGGGCGCCGTTGCCAAGTGCAAAGCTCGCTCAAACACGCGAGCAATGAGGCACCGAGAGCGGGCGCGTGCCGATGCGACGGGGCCCGATCGCATTCCTGCCCGATCAGCCGGCGGGGGTGGGGGTGGGGGGGTCAGCCTTGTGGACGGGCTCTGGAGGAAGTCTACACGACGCCCATTCCAGAGGCACGTGGCTTTATCAACACGCAGGTAAAACGACTTTCCGGAACGCCACCTTTTTTCGGCGAATGCACGCGCGTCGTATAGTATAGCACGCTCGCACGGGACGCACCGTCATGTGCCAACAGTGCCAGCCACCCCTGGGCCGGGCCGGCCCGCCCCCGACAGGCACGGGCCCAGCTGGACCGGCAGCAGCTGTTCTACTCGGAGCCCCGCTCGCCCCCCGTCCACCCCGCCCCGCCCCCTCCAGCGGGAGGCCAGGTGCTGGGCTGCGCGGCTCGACACCGCAGGGCACCGCATCTGTGCTGCTGGGCAGCTGTGCACTGTGTAGTCATGGGCCTAAGGGGCCCCAGAGGGGCTGGAGGGAGAGGGCGGCTGCGGGGGCTGTCTGGCGATGCGCTTGAGCGCCGATGTGAGAACTCGCGTCCCGGCACGGTCCCGGATACAGAGCCCGCCTCGCCCCCACATCTGCTCGCAGCTGTGCCTGCGAGCAGCCCGTCGCAGCCTGCCTCTAGCACTCGCCCCTCTAAAGAGCTTTATTCTCGGCGTACTTCCAGTGGCCTTAAACGAGTGTGCGATGTTCAGCGGCACGGGCTGTGCTTAAGCCCTTAAGCTCGTGCTCTACTCTGTACGGTCGGATTGCAGTCTAGACGAGACGCCGCCGCCCCCGCGGGGCGCGACCACCCCTCTGCGACTTGCGCCCCGATCGCGGGCCGCAGCGCGGGGCCGGTGGTGGTGGTGGCGGGAGGTTGGTAGTTCCGCCGGCCGCCGCGCGCCGCAGACAGGGGGCGCCAGCGTGCAGGGCCGCAGCGCTCCGCGGACGCGCCGCAGGGCGGGGAGTAGCCGCGGGGACGGGGAGTAGCGCGGCCGGGCCGCTGGCGGTAAGCCCGGCGTGACGCGCCGGCGCGGTGAGGGGAGGGGCGGGACGCCGCGGCACTGCGTGCATAGTGCGGCAACCCGCGCCCGACTCCCAAATGAGTTCACACGGCGGACATCGTCCCTCTGGCCGTGGTCATCACGGACCCTGCGTGTCGAGGATGCACTTTTTACTGCTGCATGGGAACGTGACCGCGGAGCGTGACCGCGGCCCCGCCTGCCGAGTCTGCCGGGCCTCCCCGCCCCCGACGTCAGTGCATGGCTATGAATGGTCGGTCGCATGCAACGGGTTCCCGCTGACGTCCAAGCTGGCCAGGTCGGTGGCGCCGCAGCCGCGACCAGGCGCAGGCATGCAGTGTCGCGGGGTCGCGCGCAGCGACAGCGACCATCAGACTGCACTTGGGGCGCAGGAAGGGGAGGGTGAGGGGAGGACGCCATCCCGGCACTGACCCTGTGCCCTTTCCTCTCATGGCGCCCGAGCTTATTTCTCCCTAGAGGATCATCACAGGCCTTTGCAGAAACATGTGCCTCGTGCCCAAGCCCAACGCCGAGCCTAAAGCGCCCGCTTCCGGATTTGGCCCGGAAGCGCACGCAAACTCTGCTCAGCTCGCGACATGCCTTGAACACGTGTGGCTGGGGGGGTGGGGGTGGGCACGTGTCCCCGGCGGAGGGAGGCGCTGCTTCGGTCTGCCACTAGTGCGACTGACGACATCCTGGGGCAGAGCAGGTGTCCAAACACGGCCTCCTTCCTGAATCCGAAGCTCTTCTTCACCTTGTCCCCGCGAAGCTCACGGAGGTCGCGTCACGCAGAGGCAAACAGTGACATAACAGCGACCGGCGGAGCCGACTCCCTGCCGCCACCTCACCTGGCGCATGACATGACCCCCGCGGCGGCCGCGGCCAGGTCCCCGCCGAAGCACGGCATGGCGGGCGAGTCTGGGGCGATGAGCACCCGGCCCGGGGCCATGGCGGCCCACGGCGGCCCATGGCGGGCCGTGGCGGGCCCACCTCGGCACGGCGATCGACCCGGCCGGCGGCGAGCCGGGCGGCCGCCCGGGGCAGGGACAGGGAGGCGGAGGGGCAGCTAAGGCCCAAGCTCAAGCCCTGCCAGGGGCCCATGTCTGTCCCTAACCATGGCAGGGCACGGCTCGGCTCGGCACGGCGCGGCCGGGGCGCGGCCGGGCAGCCTGCGGCAGGGCAGCGCGGCTCGACACGGCGCGGCCTTAGCGGCTATGGGCGGGGCCAGGCGGGGCACAGGAGGCAGGCCAGGCCACGGCTCGCCACGGCACGGCACGCGCCCTGCACGGCGGACCACGGCTTGCACGCCACGTCGCGCAGCGCCCGCCCGCCGTAGGCAAGCCCGCCGCCGTGATGTTGCGGTTGCAGTCATGTGTTTTGTTTCGTTTTCAAGATTCAGCAGCCTCGATTAGTAGAGCAGCCAAATTTTTTGCCGCGTTGCACGAGGAGGGCGTGGCGAGGTTCGCGTCACGCGACGACACCGTGCCCCGCCCTGCCGTGACCAGGTGTGACGTGACCCGCGTTGCCAGATCTAACTAAATCCACACCGTCACAGAACCTGTTTGAAGCAGTGCGAGAAAGAAGTATTCGCTTGAAACACCTTCAAGTGCATGCGCTCACACAAGTCTCCGGCCTCTGGACCCCTCCTAGCAGAAAGTCGACTAAAATATGAAAATATCGGGTACGCTGGCTCATCCGCCTCTCAAAATACTGTGAAGCTTCACTGACACTAGAAATACTACTGCTACCATCCTAAAATCTAAGCCAGGCGATTGTCAAAGCCATGCCATGCTCATGGGAGTGGCGGGCGGGATGGGTGGGACAACGCGGGAGCTCGCTCGCGACACGCAACTCTGCTCCCTATCTGAGATTCATCTCCCATGTTTTTCACGAGACTTCCCTGAGTAGTCAGCGTGCATTCTGCTCATCGCTAATCAAGCAATGCTACTACTTCGCTCCCACTTTACGCCAGTTTACGATATCTCATAGGTGGTGGCGGTAGCGGTGGTGGCGGTAGTAGCTCCGCAGTGGGCGCGTACGTCTGGCAACACCGGGCGGGCCGAGTCGCGGCGTGGCGTGTCGTAGCGCGCCTCGCCTTGCCGTGGCGTGCCGCGCCAAGCCGCGCAGCGCCCGAGCCAGGCCCGGGTTGGGTCGGGGTAGGGCTGGGCCGGTAGGGGCGGGGCGGCGGGCGTCGGC